TAAATTTAAATACAAATGTTTTAATTTTTAATGCAAATATTTCAAAATGAGAAATATTATTAAATTTAAGGAACTATTGAATTCAAATCAAGATGACTAATTTAACTAATTACAAGCTACTTTTTAATTTACACAGTTTTTACAGTTAATTCAAAATGATTCTCTAAATTTATTCACATTAAACTATCTCTTAGTTTTATGATTTTGTTAAGATTAGTTGATAGATCATTTTTTTTTCAATTTGTTTTCATGTTTTAATTTACGGTATGTTTACAAATTTTAACAGAACATATATAATGGAACATGATAAAATTGAAAGGAAAGTACGCCTATCTCTAAATATTTCTATTTCTCGCAAACGTATTTAATCATTTTAACGGTTTTATATACGGTTTGATAGTTTACAAGTTTAATGTTCACAAGTTTAATAAAAATCTACCTGACCATTAATTCGATTCAGTTTGATCTTGGTCCGACCGTTTGATTGTTATGAATTTTAAAATACTATTAAACTCATTATTATTTCAAATATTTCAACCAACTGATGAGTTTAGGTTATAGATACTATAACTATATAATATATTTTTTACATCAATCTAACTTATATTATATTTCAATCTAAGATTTTTTTCTAATCTACTCTTCAGTTTCAAACTCCAAAAAATGACTTATGGTTGTTATTGTGTCATAAGCAAACATAAATAACATTTTATACTTTTCTGTGTACATTATAATTATTCAATACAATATATATCACTAAAACAACAAAATAATTATATATTTAATAAAATTTTATTACAACACATTTTTTAAAATATGAAATCCCGCACATACGTGCGGGTCAGGATCTAGTATCTACATAAACAAAAATCCAAAAATCTTATTCTAACTATAACATCACATCATCTTCTCCCAACTTATTTACAACCCAAAGATATAATACTTGAAAAATTAATGAAACTTGAATGTTGTATTGGATTGTATCATTTATTACAAAAAACTTATAAACAAAGTTGTTATTTTACAACATTAATACTAAATAAAAATATAGAAAACTTATATGACATACTACATCTAGTACTCGAACTTCATATATACATCCAAAAGATAGAACATATAATAACTACACAATGTTGAAACCAATTTTTTAGGTTGAATATATCAAAATGTTTCCAACTTTCTTGGTCCAAATTTATTACCATGCGATGTATAATGATTTTTTTTGTCAAAAATACACAAAGATTTTGTATTATAAAAATAAAATATGTTGAAAAAAATTATTTGTAGAAAATATTTTTGATGCAATTTATTTAAATTATAAGAGAAAAAACATATTGTAAGCACACTAGAAAAAATCAAAGAAAACAAAATTATTGGAGTTAAAATGATATTCAAATAACGTTAAGGATTTAAATTAATTTATAAATATCATTAGTTTATAAAAAATCCATCAAAGAAAAGAACGGAAAATACATAACTGAACGATGTTGTTTTCGAGAGCTGTCATTCAAATGCGTTTTGTACTTAAATATATGAGAGAATCGACGAACATTTAAACAAAAAAAACAACAAAAGTGAAAATGTAAATATTTAATCAATATGATGTCTCATATACCTTTAATCATTATGTGAACAAACGGTTATTCAGGAAATAGAATGAACCAACATTCATCGTGTAAACCTTCGAGTGCGCAATAACCGTTGCGTTTTTCTCTTCTAGACACAACTTTCGAATCTTTTCTTTTGTTTATGTTTTTTTGACCCCTGCGAATCTTAGCTTCCCTTCGAAAGGTTATTACCTCTCTTTGTTTGCTCCCTCTAAATGGAACATGAGAGCAAGACCGAAATGGATGGAGTGGAAATGGAAAAAGGAAAGAAATAAAATGGGTCGAGAAAAGGAGTTGAGATAATGATGAGAGAGCTGGCTAGGGTACTAATAATGGTAGTTGCGACAGTTTTCTTGCTACTCTACTTTGTTTCTCTGCTCTCTCATTTCTTAGCTCCTAAAACCGTGATTGTTTGGAAAAGACATATCTTGAGGCCGACGTCTTTACTCGCAATTGTTTTTTACTTGTCAATTCTACTTTCATTGGTCTCGTAATTCTCTACTAAGTTGATATTTTATGGAGGTGACTTATATTGGAAAAAAAAACATTTACAAGTTTGTAATAAAATAAGATCGTATCTAATCATTAATCAATGCTCAAAGGAAATGATTGGTTCGTAAAAATCATACAAAGGCAAGACAAGGAATTTATTATTTAAACGACATCGTTTTCGTGAGACACTATTAAAATTATTTCAGAGCCAAAGTAATGAAAAATAGACAAAACTGACGAAGATTTCAAAAAAGAAAAGAGATTGCAAAATGTAAATATTTAGTTAATATTCCCTGTTTCATTTCTTGGCCTTTGAAAAAAATTGAACGATTCATCATTATTCTACATACACACATTATTTTTTGAGAATTATAATATATTTGGCTGTTAATGGATTAAGTGTTTTTTCGAGATCATAAGATTATGAGAGATTTTCAATAATTAAAAATAAGATTGGAAAATCGTTTTGGATTCAAATTAATTTTTACAAATCATTAGTTCATTGAAGATTTCACAAAGGCGAGAACGAGGAAAACCTCATTAAACAATGTTGTTTTTGAGAGCACAGAGATAATGGATGAAAATTTAAACCCAAAAAATTAGGTATAAATATTTAATCAATATGCTAGGTCTCGTTTTTTGGTCTCTGAAGAAAAATTGAACAATTTATCATTATTCTACGTAGACACGCATAACTATTGAGAACTAATATATCATGGGATGTTAATGGGTTACAAAAGTTTTGAGATTATGCGAGATTCTCAATAATTAGAAATGAGATTCAAAAAAAGTTTTGGATTTTCTCACTAGTTTCTACAAATCATTGGTTCGTAAAAAGTCTCAAGAAAACAAGAACGGCGAAGACGTCATTAATTGATCTTTTTTTTAGATATATCACTAAAAACGTTTTGGATATAAAGTTATGCGACAATAGAGAGAATTGACGAAGATGTAAGCACAAAAAAAAATATATATATTGGAAAATATAGATATTGATTCAATATGTCTGTCTCGTTTTTTGGTCTCTGTATAAGATTGAACAATCCCCTATATATTAATAGAGAAACATTTTAAAAAAGAAACCTTACCATGATGTGTTATTAACAAGATTGTCACGCTGATGTGTCGCTCTCACAATGATTTGACTCCTATTTAGATAATTACCCAATTTTTATTAGATTATTTACAGAATTTGCCATTAGTCTCATACATCCATATATTCCACTAATCAAAAACGAATTTCTAATTAAAAAACAAAAAAACACACAATCTATACAAAACAAACTTTATTATTATCTCTATATTAGCATAGACAATATAAATGTAACATAGGATATATGCATAACAAATCTAATATTAAAATGTAAGATATGCTACGTCCAAGCTTAAGCTTAAAATCAAACAGACATTTTTTATTTCATAAATCCAGCAAACTAATGGTCTATTTAGTATACTAAATTGCAAAGCATGTTGACTGTATAAACCAATTCAGGCCGTATCCCTTATATATTAATTGAGAAACATTATTAAAAATTAACCTTACATTCATGTGTAATTAACGAAAATGTCATGCTGACGTGTCGTTCTCACAGAGCTTCTCAATCTATTTAGTTAAAGATCCAACATTTATTAGGATATTTACAGATTTTGCCATTAGTTTTACTTATGTTTATTTTTCTAATTAATTTATGCTTTTTATTTTTCTCAATTAATTAAAACAAAAATACAATTAAAATATATAATTAAGAGATACAAATCTATACAAAATGGAGTACTTAATATTTTGTGTATCTATTAATATAACAAGATATATACCATAAATCATGATAAATATAAACTTAATACATAAATGAAAATTTTCACTAATCTTGATAATCATTAATACACTACCATTTATCTAATAATATAAACTTTGAACACCCTCAATATTATTAATATATTAAAATATTTTTATAATCGTTTTGTCCCGCATATAATGCGGGATATTATCTAGTTCATCATTATTCGAGACTCGCATAATTATTAAGAATTATTTTATATATATATATATATATATTGTTAATGGGTTATAAAAGTCATAGATTAAGGAGATTATGAGAGATGTTCAATAATTGGAAATTCGATTGAAAATGAGATTGAAAAATTGTTCTGGAATCAAAATTATGAGATAATAGAGAGAACTGAAAATTAGAAAATGTAAATAGAGTGAATTGATGAAGACTAACAAAAAAAATCAAAAAATTAGGAAAATGAAAATGAGATTCAAATGATGTTTGGATTCAAATTATGTATGAATAAAGTGAATTTACGAAAACTTAAACAAAGAAAAAATTCAAAAGATTAAAAAATATAAATATTCAATAATATTCCCTGTCTCGTGTTTTGTTCTTTCAAGAATATTGAAAGATTTATCACTATTGTACACAGACACCGTATAATTATTAAGAATAATTATATATATATATATATATATATATATATATATATATATATATATATATATATATATATATATATATATAGCTCGTTTTCGGTGCGAGCTAGCCTGTCTATAGTTTAACCGGGTATCCACGAACCTGATACGGAACCGAGGAGGGGCAAAAATAGTCGAACCATATTAATAACCATTTTAGATTTAGTTAACAGCGTCAATCAACGTTTCTCTATTTTGGTTTTTTATTTCATTCTTCTCTTCTCTAGAGCCATACAAAGTAAATAGCTTTGAAACCAGAAATTAATCTTAGATTGGGCTTACATGGGCTTTAAATTCACTTTTTTACATGGGCTTTGAAACAATAAATCAAACGAAACACGTGACTTGTAATATCATAAAATATCTTAAATTTAAGAAAAAAATATCAAACCCTCTCTCGAAGTTTCCTTCTCCTCTAACTTCCACCTCTCTCTCCTACGAAGATATTTTTGTTTCATTCTCTTCTCCATCCACAAAACCTTCTCTCAACTCTCTCAATATTTTTCTTCAAATTTCCGATGCTTTAACAGTGAAATTAACGTCTGAGAACAGAGAAACACATCACAATCTTTGAAATCACAGTGCGACGGAGACGGAGGGAGCGATTTTCGAAAATGGCGTGTGAAGGTGGAGGATCTAACGTCAGATCTAGCTACTACAACGTTCTCGGAATTCGTAAAGAAGCTTCCGTTTCCGATATCCGTACTGCGTATCGTAGGCTAGCCATGGTAATGGAACTCTCTATTCAATCACCGTTAGTTTTTTGGTTTTGATCGGAGAATTTTAGTTATGAATCTGAGAATTTCGGTGTTGCTTTGGTGAAGAAATGGCATCCGGATAGATATGCTCGGAATCCTGGAGTTGCCGGCGAAGCTAAACGTCGGTTTCAACAAATCCAGGAAGCCTATTCTGGTAATTTCACAATTTTTTTCAAAAATATCTTATTAACGGCCGTTTATTCTTGTCGTTATCTTTTAACGTCCGTCTCACGTAACAACGAAATGTTCATGATCTTTTTTTTTTTTTTGAACAGTTTTGAATGATGAGAATAAGAGGTCAATGTACGATGTTGGATTATATGATCCTCATGAAGATGATGACGATGTTCGTAACACGACGTCGTTTAATGATTTGCATAACTTGGCAATATTGATAATATTTATTAACTGTTCAAATTTTGTTTAAGAATTTACTATTTTAATCCCATTTTTAACTTTTGAGAGTTTCTGAATTTGACCTAAATGTTGTGGTTAGGATTTCTGCGATTTCATGCAAGAGATGATCTCAATGATGAACAATGTCAAAGACGAGGTATGTCCTGTTCGATTCCTCATCGACACCGGTTAGAATTTGCGGTTTAGTGTATCACCACCCGGTTTATCAACTTTGACAATTGGTTTATAAAATAGTTAATAGACCACACAGAATGTGTAGTCAATTTGTCTATATGATTTGGGTTCAGACCGGTTAGAATTCTTTGGTAAATTCAATTTTGGCGTCCTCGATTAGTTAAAGAAAGATTTGGTCAACAAATGTGTAAACTAACATGACCCATAAATTAAGTTAAACCAGGAAATAATCTTCTGGTTATGTACATTTGTAGATTGGTTTTAACGAACCGGTTTGATTGGTTATGATGAATAGGGAGAGAGCTTGGAAGACTTGCAACGAATGTTCACGGACATGGTTGGTGGAGATGGCGTGAACTTTGACTGTAACAACAATCCAAAGGCCAGCAAAAGACCACGTGTCAATGTCTCTAGGACTAGTGCTGCGATGCGTTAACGCTTACTTCTTCTGTGTATGTCTGTGTCGTGTTGTATTAAAATTTTCATTACCATTTTCAATTGTCTAAATAAACCCCCAAGTCCTTAAAATAAATTATCTATGAAAACCAACTAGACCTAGTTTAGAATCCTTTTTTGACGCGTATTGGTGAAGTTAATTTTGTTTCCCACATGTCCCAATCACAAATGTATCTCCTCTCGATTTGGTTATGAACTCATTGAATAAATATTCCAAAAATTGTTGATTTGATACTATACCAATCTCTTAGAGGATTCCAAATTTCCAATAAATTGTTGATTGACAAAATGAACTTTTTTTTTGTAATCAAAATTGAAGCCTTGTGTTCAACTTTTAATTGCACCAATATCCTTTTGGTATAGATACACATAAAAAGACAACCAATATCCTTACTTTTGACTTATGGAGGGATCAAAGCAACTTTTCTTCAAGCAAATCCTTCTGTTTTAAAACAGTTAACATTACCGAGCGATGTTCTTCTAATCAAGCTGTTTAGTCCAATCAAAGTGTTCCCATTCGCGAGCAAAGCTCACAACCGCCTTTTTCTGGCTCTCTACCGACTCCTGCCTTCTACGTCTGTACATGTCTTCTTCTGGTAACTCAAGCATTCCTCTGATTACATTTAGTCCAAGATTGCTATTGAACTGTTGTTCATCATCAATCACGTGAACAAACCCTTTGTCTAGACCAAACTCAACATGGAAGTAAGGGAAATTCTTGGGTATAGAGTTTCTCAGACCCTTTACGCTAGTGTCTATGAGCTTCTTTGCATTGTGCTGACTCCATTCACTTTCCGCTTCATCGATCGCCTTCTTGAAGTATAAAGGACCTTCTTTTGCTATCTCTTGGGGGATTGGGATACACTCGATCAAACAGTGGCGACGTTGCTGAGACAAACCTATCACTGTCTCCAGAAACACTGCGTCTTTTCCTTCTTTTGCATACATCATTATAAGACACTTCTTGAAATTACGAATTTCGTCCCAAACATTGTCGTCAACACTTCTGCTGGCTGCCTCGTGCTGCATTGGCAAGATACAGCAATGGCCTGGGACAAGGGGCTGATGTTGTGGTAACATCAGATAGGTGAAGTTGGCAATGGACACAACTAAGTGTTTCGGCCGCTTTGGGTTCTCAAAACAAAAGAGACAGCGTTCTTGCTGGGTCATAATACGTTTCACACGGTTGTCCTTTTCAGGAATGTTACTGGACGATTCCCGCTTCCGGGACTTTTTGCTTGGAGCGTCTCCATATTCATACTCATCATCAGCAGCTTGATTAGATGTTTTGTACTGTTTGTTCTGCATTATGCTCTTGGCTAGATGCATATCCGTATTATCATCTTCATTCTTCCTTCTACCCGATATATCTTTGACAGGATATCTAATGAGTAAGAAAAGAGGAATTTAAAATCAGAACGATTTGACACAAAAAGAAAAGCCCCAAACAGCTCAGAAATAAAAGTAAACTAAACTTACCTCACTGCGGTTCTGATGGAGTGGTCTTTGGATGAATCGTCTCCACCAGCTTGTTCTGCTTTCAGCCTCTCTGCTTCTTCCTGTGAATTATCAAGAGAATTCATTTCAGAAGTACGCAGGAAAAACAGTTGAACTAATCATACTTAGGCAATGAGTTTGAAAACAGACTCAGGCACAAGGTAAGTGAATGATTGGGAATTAAAAAGTTATTGTCTCACCATAAGTTTCTGGGCTTCTTCATGTTTCCCTTTCATACGGAGCTGGAAGGCTTTAGCAGCCAGTTTATTCACACTTAAAGTTTCCATACTCGGAAGAATCCCTTCACCATCCTTATTGGTCTCTGACGGTAATGCTTTCTGCTCCACATCATTTCTGTGATCTTCACGAGTCTCTACGGGAGACACTGATACATTCTTCTGCTTAGAAAGCATTTCCTTCATGAAATTTCCGTCATTGGAAAACTTATTCAAGTGAGCTGCAGCTTCAGATATTAGCCTCGAGTCTTCGTTTCTATGAGTTTGGCTCTTTCTCTTTCCCCAGGATAATGAAGGGTCAGTTTTGGGGGCTCTCAATACACGATGGTTCAACGAGTCACCTTTCAAATACTCCCGATTATTACCCTTCAAATAAAATAACTCACGAAGTCAGAATATTAGCCGTCATACTTCCCAGTATGAAACAGTACTAACCTTATAGAAAATCAAAAGTAACCTAAGCGGTTCAAGTACCTTCTCAGAAATTCTTTCTGGTTTTTTTTCTGTATCATTCTTTTCATTTTCCCCTCTTCTTCTATTATTTATGGCATTCAAATGGGCACGAGATGGAGCCGCTCTTTGAGATGCCACAGACTCAACAAGGTTACCAAGAGAACCCCATCGTTCGCCAGCAACCTGCATAACCGTCAAATGATAAGGCAATACTCAAAGGCCAAAGAGACTATAACAAATCGTAAATATATACAAAACTTACTTCCTCAAGCTTTTGCCCTTCTCTCGCAGCCTGTTCCTTTGCACGCTTGAGTGCTTTCATTCTCCAACTCGCACCCCCATCCCCAACAACCGAAGATGGTAAAAGCTGGTCTTTACCATGTTTTTTCTCAGATTCTTCCTCTGGATAACCGGTTCCATTTTCTTTCAAATAAGGATTTAGTTCCCTTGGGTTCACTTTAGTTACCTGGTCGAGAAAAAAAGAAACATTAACTTAACAATCTAATACAGAATTGTTAGAAATAAACTGTCAAATCAAAATTCCCTCACCTCAGGTGCACTTTCTTCGAATTTATCCTCTACATCTGAAGCAGGGTTTGGATCAGCCTTTCGGGTTGGCGGCAGCATCCAATCGAGACCAATTTTCTTTCTAACTATATCCCCTTCAAGAAAGTCATCATGAACGGTCTCCCCATCTCCACTCTTGGCAATCTTCTTCCCATCTCTCTTACTTCCTTCTCCCCTACGCTCCTTTCTATCAACGTCCTTGTTCTTTCTTCTTCTATCCTTCCCACCTTTAGATTTATCATTTTCCCCCTCCGAACTATCATCAACCACCTAACAGAAAAGAAAAATAACATCAAACTCAATCCAAGATGAACAAACACAAAAGAAAACTCAGTATCATATAAAACTAGAAACTTTACTTCATCACGAGGTATGATCTTTATCCCAGAAAACATATTAACAATATGTCGAAGGTCCCAGTGACTTCTTCCTGTTGAAGAATAATCAACAGACTTCCAAAAGGTAAGAGCGAAGCAAACTTCAAACCTACACAAATAAGAAAACATAACAGAACACAAATTAGACCATGTCATAGCCATGATACTGTAAACAGAACAAGATCCAGAGATCGACAACATCAGCAATACACAAAAGCAAGATGCAAGAGAAACTATAATACACAAGGCACATAATTCGACCAAGCAAACCTCAGCCACAAATACTTCAATTCTAAAATCCTCTAAGATAAAGTTACTCTACACACACATCCCTAAAGTTTTGATATTTACAATCATCTGATAAATTACTGCGAACAGAACGAGACCCGGAGATCAACGAAATCAGTATAGCAGTAGCTTGCAATACACAAAAGGAAGATGCAACGGGAAAGTTTACAAGGCACATAATCGACCTAACAAACCTCAGCCACAAAAACTTCAATTCTACAATCCTCTAAGCCAAAGCTAGCTTATATACCCTGAAGTTTCAATATTTATAATCCTCTAATCAGTAAGACTGAATCTGGGAAAGATACGAGATTGATTACTAGCGCTAAGCTTGTAGGTCACTAGGTAGATGTTATTAAAGCTCGAAGCAACGAGATTGAAACCAAGTTTGATCCTTTAGATTCTAAACCCAACTGATTGAGAGATCTTAAGCAAACCCATAAAGTAACTTCAATGGAAACGCAACACGACGACCAATAAACTGTACTTCGATTTGAACCAAATTGGAGAATTTAAGAAACTAGAAAATTGAAACAGAGAGCAATATTAAGCAAAGATATCTCCTTTATCTTTGTTAATGAAGAATGAAGAACTAATTCTCAGGAAACTTACCGGAAAAAACGAAGAAGAAGACAGCTACTCCGGCGATGGATGTTGATCTCTGTTAGGAAGAAGGAAACGATTTGCTTTGTTTGATGATTTAGGGCTCAAGAAAAAAAAAATCAGAAAACAACGAACCGGGATTATAAACCGGACGAAACGGGATTTGGAATTAATAACCGGTCCATAATTTCTGAGAAACCGATCATACCAGAGAAAACAACGAACCGGGATTCTAAACCGGAAAAAAGATGAACCGGAGAATTGGAATTCGATAACCGCTCTTTTATGTCTGAGAAATTAGAATCGAATATACCAGATAAAATGATGAACCGGTATTATAACTAGACAGAAACAACAAACCGGGACCTGGAATTCGATAACCGGCCCATCATATCTGAGAATTCGATACTACCAGATAAAACGATGAACATGGACTTAATAACCGGAAGAAACAACAAACCGGGATTTGGAATTCGATAACCGATCCATGGTAATCGATAATACCACCAGCTAAAACGACGTACCGGGACTAATAACCGGAAGAAAAACAACGAACCGGGATTTGGAATTTCGACAACCGGTCTCATCATTTCTGAGAAATCGATATAATAGTCCTCATTCACAACGCACTTTCTCTTCCTCTCTCCTCCTACCAAGAAATCATCGTCGTCTTCTTCATCTATTAGGATCGATCCGGCTTGATATTTATCACCAAATTCGTCCATCAATTGTTCCAAGATTCGAAAATTTCGTGGGCAAAAGATGGACGCTGATTCCAAGAGATTTCTAGCTACGCTTCGATCCCGATCTGGTGAGAATTACAGTATCTTTATGTCAACTTTGATCTTAACTTGTTATTTTGATTTTGTGAGCTCTCAAGTAAACAAATTTCAATTAAAAATACAATCTTTTTTATCACATGAGTTTGATTCAATGTTTTCTTGATTTTGGTTCAAGATCAAGACTTTCGTATACGTTTTTGTTTGTTATGTAAGTGAAAGAACAGTTTTATTCATCTTTAAGTTTCTGGTTATAGTTTGAGCTATGTAAGAGAAGCTCTTGAACTTGTTGTGTTTATGGAGCTGTAATAGATGTTTTGCTTCTGAATAAGACTGTGAAATTTGTTGTTCTTATCTATAACAAGAAGGTTAGGTTCTAATTTCTTAGTCCATATTTTCTTCGTAGATCTTTAGGTTTTGGTTTTAAGTTGTTTCATTTGATGGTAATTATGTTGTTTCATCTAGAGGAATGTTACCTTTAAGCTTGTTTTGTATTTGATTTTTGGGTATTATTTACCTTTAAGTCTAGAATTTGGTTTTGGAGGTTTGATTGATTCAGCAGATTGTCTCTTAAAGTCTAGTTTTGTTTTTCTTTCATATTGTTGTTACTTTTCTAGACGAATTTTTGTGCTTTGTACCAGTATCATGCTCGTAAATTTATATGATCTTTTATGTTTGAAAATGCAGAAATGTTAATGGGCTTTGAAGAAATAGATGGAGATGATGATTTCCAGGAGGAGTTTGCTTGCCCGTTCTGTGCAGAATCGTATGATATCATCGGTTTGTGTTGTCACATAGATGATGAACATACTTTAGAGTCAAAGAACGCGGTATTGCTCGCTCGATGTACTTTTTTCTGTCATGCAATTCTTATACAATGATATTGGTTTATACAATCAAATCAACTTGGAATTTAATAGTTTTAGCAAATGTGTACATTGGATCTTAAGATAAGTGAATCCGTTATTTTGCAGGTATGCCCTGTTTGCTCTCTAAAAGTGGGAGTTGATATCGTAGCGCACATAACGCTTCACCATGGGAGTTTATTTAAGATATCCTTTGTATTCATTTTTTGCACTTGCATATTTTCTTAGTTCTTACCATTGAATCATATTACTCTGTTGAATTCCTTAATGAGTTTTACTTGCAGCGAAAGAGAAAGTCACGGAAAAGTGGTACCAATTCGACACTTTCACTTCTTCGGAAAGAGCTAAGAGAAGGAGATCTACAGAGGTTGTTAGGATTTACTTCTCGAAATGGTTCTGTTGCATCAAGTGGAACTCCCGATCCTCTCCTGTCGTCATTTATCTCACCTACACGATTACAGAGTTCTCCTGTGACACGCCAAACCAAAAAAGTATCCGAGGAGAAACAGATAGAGCGGTATAGATTCTCTATTAGCTTCTTTATTAGATTATAGAGTTTTTGAAGGTTTAGTCTTTGATTAGCATTGAACTTGTTCAGCAAGAGACAAGTGTGCATCTCACCGGTCTCATCAAAAGATCGGGAAGAGAGGAGGCAAAAATCAGAGTTTGTTCAGAGGCTCTTGTCATCAGCCATTTTTGATATGGTCTAATCAAATCAAACACAACGATCGAGAACACAAAGGAAGTAAATCTACAGATTCAGACTTCAGAGACTCTGGTAAATATGAAGCTTTGTTACTTGTGTAGCAGAATCCACAGACACATATTCATCGGAATCTTGATTCAACTGTGTGTAGGTTTCGAGAAAAAACAATGGTTGGGATGAGAAGAAGACGGAGAAGAGCGAGATGCAGCTATGTTATCTATATCTATTATCTATGTATTGTGTATGTTTTTAAGTATAAAACCAGAAGAAGATGCTACTGAATACATTGCGTAGAATTGTGTTTTCTTAAGTTTATTAAGCCATTGAAAAATAAGATAAGAAGAATAAGTTCTCTTGTCTGTAGCATAAGCCCAATTGGTTTTCTTGTGTTGTGTGTCTTACGAAATAAAAAATGTTCACTCTTGTAAGCTAGTTAAAAGAGTGTTTGAGAACCAACCACTTACGAAGTCATCTACAGTATGTAAGATAATAATTCAACAATATTATTGTTAATTTTGGTATGTTTTTTTTCTTAAGTGTTATAGTTTAATGGTTAATGATCGAGAAAAATGTCGAAAAAATGCGCGAACTTTAAAATTTGGGACGAAAAAAAACATGAATTTTTGAAATGTCATTTAAATCACAAAGTTTAGTTTGACTTTTTGATAATATGGTCAAGTTTCGTGGACTTAGCCATTTCGGGCATGTCGTTATGTTTCTGTTAACGGAGTTAACTTTCCGGTAGAAATCTCTGTTATATCCAGTGTTCAAGAAAGCGCTAGGCGCTAAGCGGGCGGTGATCCAGTGTTTAGCGCCTAAAACGCCTAATCGGGGCCTAGGCGATTTTTTAGGCGGTTTAGACGTTTATAACATAAAACATTATAAATATGATATTACATATAAAAGTTATATAAAATATCTATATAAAACTAAAAGTTATGAAATTATAAACAAAAACTAGATAAAACATTTATTTATATTTATATTAAACAATATATGAATATTTATAACTATATATAAATAAAACTCTAATTAAAATTGAAAAAATACATTAAACAAGATCTATGTAATTTTAGGCGGTCAAAGCGGTTATCTAGGCGTCGCATGAGAGCCTAGTGACTAGTCGGGGCCTAGGCGACCGCCTAGACCGCTTTTTAGAACACTGGTTATATCAAAACAACGTCGTTTTAAAAGCTTCAAAACGACGTCATTTTAATAGAAAATAAATGATTGAAATTATGCGTCTATGCAGAATCGGACTGCTCCCCTATTGGACTCATAAAGAGACTCTCCACCACTAGGCTACGACAACAGTTCATTAAATACCAAACAAAACATATATATACTAACAAATAACAATATACAATTAATTACAAATATATGCAATAAATTAAAAATAACAAAACTAAAAAAAACAAACATATGCAAATATTAAATAAACATATCATAAATATATATTTTAAAATTTAAAATATTTAATTATATAAATAAAATTTTCTTCTATACGATTATTCTCGGTACCCTCAATGCAACAGATAGGTAGAAGCAACGAACACGATAATCCTCGCCGTGATCAAGAAGCGCCTCAAAGCCAAAAAAAGGTCATGGGATGACGAGCTGGATGGCGTCCTCTGGTCATACAGAACAAAGCCTCGTCAAGTGACAGACCAGACACCATTCGCCCTCACTTACGGAATGGAAGCAATGGTGCCCGATGAGGTCGGCAACACCAGTATCCGTAGGTTGATGATGGTTCAGCACCCCTACATCAATAACCAGAGGATAATTGACAGTCTAGACACACTCGAAGAAAAATGCAACAAGGCCCTCTGCCATATCCAGATTTACCAACTCGTCGCAGCAAAGTACTACAATAAGAAGGTGAAAAATTGTCATTAACGAATGCAACCACGTTCTCCGAAAGATATTCGAAAATACCGCCAAACTCAAATCTTGTAAGTTGGGAGAAAACTAGAAAGGACCCTACCAGATCTTGAAGGTCATCCATCCCGACGACTAAAAACTCCCTACAATTAGTGGAGAACATGTCCCGCGAATGTGGAACTCGATGTATCTCAAACACTACTACTACTAGCAGACTTGCTAATTTCAAAATAAAAAGAAAAGAGAAAAAAGAATGTAGCAAGTTCTTACCGAGCTCTACTATGTAATATGTATTACGAGAGGCTTGGTCCTTCTCATTAGAGGGTACGTAGGCTGCCTTTTTAACATGGCGCACCTACGACAATAATAAAACTTTATTTTTCTAAGCAAGGAAAGTATGTATAGCTATACCGTCCTCAGAGCCCGTGTTCGATCAAACGCGTTACGAAAGAGGGCACGTCTTTATTTAAGTAAGCCAAAAACTAGTAAAATAATTTTCAAAAAAAAACTCACTTAAAGATCTTAAAAACCGAACTCCGCGCTCGCAATGTTTTGACGAGTGAATGGAATAATTCGAGTCCACACTTGCACTTTCGCACTCTGCCAGAACTCATTATAGGATAAGGCGATCATCCACCGTCACACCTTACAATATCTCAAGCCCATCTCAAATATTCTTGGCTCAGCCTCACATTTGAAAGTTGAGTGCGTTCTCACAATAGAAAGCCGAGCTAAGCCTCGTATTAAAAAAAAAAAGAAACAAGCTCAACATCACATAAGATAGCTGAGTTCATCCTCGCAATAGGAAGCCAAGCTAAGCCATGCATAAAAATGCCGAGCTCAGTCTCGCTTTCTAAATGACGAGGTCCGCCTTGTAAGAACATATCAAAAAGACGATAATCTTAACGACGTGATAAAAGACAACGAACAGATTAGAGAGAAAAGGACGAGAAAAGAAGCATAGGAAGAAAGCAAATATGTTAAAATGCAACGAAACGACAACCAAGTTCAAAACAAAAAGAGTCGTTAAAACGACAACCAAGTTCGAAACAGCTGATGAAGCGGCGACACACTTAAACAAAAGCTGACGAATTGGCAAACCAAATATATTTCACTTTGTGACACCATTCAGACGTCCTTCATCAGCGATATCAGGTTCTTCATCACGCAGGTTCCCTGATCCTCGATAATCTTTTCTACCGTCTGATTGCCCTGACCTCCGGACTGATCTTCAACCTTTTCAACACCGTTCGGCGACGAGTTCATGATGTATTCGTCAAGAAAAGGGTTTTCAAAAATAGTGCATGAATCAAAATCACCCTTCTCGAGGTCTGTGATGTCATACCCATTGACTGTAGTCTCCAACTCTTCGGCGTCTGCCTTTAACTTCGCAATCGTCTTTACCAATTTAACCTCCACCTCCCCCATCTCGACCAACATCTCGAGGGTCTTGATAGTCCGTGAAACCAGGTTGTACTCGAGGAACTCGGCTTCGCATTAGCCGTATCATCGAAATGAACTTTAATCCTGTTTATGCAAGACTAGAAAATCCAGGCCATCTCAGCCAAAGCCTTATTCCTCACTACGGTGTTGTACTCCTCTCACCGTTGACGAAGCCTCTTCCTCTCGGCCTGTATATACGTGACCAGCTCATCGTATTCACCCCTTACCTTGTCCAGATCGGACAAAATACGGTTCCGCTCTTCGACGAGACCTGTCTGGTGATGATCAAGCTTCGCAACCTCCATTAGTATTGTAAAACTATGTGTAACGCCCCGACCGCCACCTTTCTTAATGGGTCACATGTTCTCTCTCGGCCCGTGGCCCAACATGTGTCTGACGGTCGGTGCGCTACATGCAGAAAGCTTTTAAGACTTGTTTACCGCCCCTACGAATCACCATATGATATTTTCCCGTGTTCAGTCATCACCCACGCAGTTCTGACAATCATTTCCCGGAAGGTCACCCATCGTGAACTTGCTCCAGCTCAAGCCCGCTTAACTGTGGAGTTCTCTCAGGACAGTTGATCGAAAAGATAAGTGCACTTTGGTGGCATAGGTGGTCAAATCAATTGTTTTAAACCTCTCCGCAAGCATCACCATATTCCTGAAACTGGAGTATTACACAATGAAAGCAATTATGTAGTCTCTATATTAAATTTTTCTTTAAACCTTGAAATTAACCCATTATTAAATCGTATACAAATAGACCAAAAAGAGTTAACTAACAATACTGTTTTATATTTATATCACCAACTGGACAATTTTGAGAAACATTGAGGGTTTGCTCCTATCTTGACTGTATTTTAAAATTTTTGAATGTCTCCTTTGAGCTTCTCAAGAATCATTCAATAAGTATTGGAAGTTGTAATTTGTTAAAACAAATGTGGGTATACGAGTATGCCGGATGCGAAAACTTCTCAATACTCTTGTTCATAGGTGTGAAATTTGATTTCATGAACGATTTAAAGGTACTATAAAGCTTCTAAGTAGTATTCAACGTCTTCAGCAATCTCAAGTGTTTCCAGAGTTGAATAATCGATTGGCAAATTATCTTAGTTTTTATGCACTTTCTCTTTGTCTTTCTTCATCTTAGCAAATCATATCCATCTCACAAAAAAATTGATAAATACAGAAAACAAGAATATGTCCACATCGTTTTGAATAAGACTATTTAAATAAACTTATGTTAATTCGATCTAAATAGAATTTATATCCTTACTAATTCTTACAATATACGATATCAATTGTATTATTACTAATTATAATTTAAATTATATAGGCTACAAGTCCATCTTATATCATCATAAACATATAATTCTGTAGGCTACAGATTTCAACCAAATTGCACATTTCATACTTTAAATGATATTTTTCCCCACAAATTTTGATAAAAAAAAAATTTAATAACAAGAATAGAAGTTTTTTGCCCAAAAGGCCTAATATTCTTTGAGCCGGATTTGTACGTAATCTTTTACGAAAGAAAAGTTTTTTTTTTTTTTTTTTTTTTAAAAAAGAAAAAAAAAAGAAAAGTTTTTTAAAATATAAATGACATGTAACTAGAGGTTCCCGTTTCATGCAAGGATCCCGTGTCATCATCATCATTTAGTTTAGTTGACTATGTGGAAGCGTGCCTGCAACACGCATGATCAATAATTTACTAACATTTGCTTTTGGAAACATTTAATTTATTGATCAAAACAGAAATTATTGATCTAAACCGCAATTATACAATTAGAATTAGTTGAAACTATTTTTCTATATGAAAGAATATGCTACCTCTCCATACGAAGATAAAGTCGGTCAATGACTATGCACCCATGAAAAAATTATACTTATGCATGACCGCATGCATGTTGCCGGAAGGGTACGGCCGTACGGTTCTCTATATAAACTCTTCATACGATACAATAAAACCCCAAAACCCGAAAACAAAAGAAAAACAATATGTCAGCTAATCACACGACCCTCCATAGCTCCGGGGATGAGGAGCCAAATCACGAGTTGTATTCTTCAGCGGTGCACAAGCTCGTGGTGTTAATGAACGCAGGTGTTTTTGGATTTCTCCAGCTCAGTGACCTGTCGGCTATCGGAACCAATGCAGCTGGCTCTACATCTGTTATGTTCGAGACTCATCGAGCCACTTTCCTTTGTTACTGGGTTCTCATATTGATCTACGCCTTTCTTCGTATCTACGAGATCAAACTTCGCATCATATGGTTTCGTATGCTCGTGGGACATATAAGCCATCTCTTTGGCGCTCTCGCAGCTCTCTTGCTAATATCTGTTGTGTCTTTCATCTTTTCTTTTATCGTTGTTCCCCTCTGGCTTGCTTGGCTCTTCGCGGTACTGTACATTGCTTTCCGAGAAGTCATAAATCTACCAGCAAATTCATTGGGTGGTGTTGACCCACCAAACCAACTAATGTCGGTCTAGGGTCACCATCTAAATTCACATGTTGCATTCCTACTACTTTTGTGTTGGTTTTTAATTCATGTCCCTATGACGACTATGTGTTGCGAGCTTCCTATGTAATTTGTTGGTGTTTGTTATATAAATAAAACAGAAAAGAGAGTGATTTATTGTACATCAGTTCTTCTCAAAACCGCATTCTCCATACCAAACTGAATAAACTAACGACACTATTTCTTCTCACGTGAGGTGCACGAATTTGCCTTGTTTGTTTGTCTAATTCACGTGTATATATCGTTTCTTTTGCTAGATTTTCCTTTGACCAAAATTATAGTTGAATAATATATTCGAGATGGGTCTAACGAGAATCAAGAGGAGGTGAACCTTCGTTGGTGGGAACTAGGAACTTTAAGAATATAAGAAAAATTAAGTATCCTACATAAGCACCAATATTTGAGAACACTCAAGATGAAATAGAATGTACAAGTTCGAGACATCCTCAACTAATGTCAGGAAGCTTGAGACGCAAGTGATCCATCTAGGAGGGCAGAATTAAACAATGAATGTATCAACGCTATCATCCTTAGAAGCAAAAGGAAGTAGTATCTGCTGCACAGAAATCAAAGAAAGCAGCCGAGGTAATTGAACTGGAAGACGATGAAGTAGAAACTAATCCAAAAAAATGTCTGAGACATTTTACGTTGGAGATTCATTCATCTTTCAATATATACAACAAAACAATGTGATGGAAGTGAGTTTCCAAGATTTGAGTCGCGCAACTAATTTTTTTTTTTTTGCTAAGAATGTAAATATTCATTTCACAATGAAAGTTTCGGTTACACAATAAAGGATAACCAAATCATGGTCCCATAGCAAAAAAAAGGATAAAAATTTACATGGAAGCATACAACATTCTTGAACCTAATCTTCGATTCTCGGTAAAGAAGATGATTGGGAGCAAGATAAGATGAATCCCTAAAGTGAGGTAGAAAAGGAAACAATACGAAGGTATATCATTAAAGCTCACGAAACACCCTAAAACGAGATGGTAGCCCTTTCATCAATGGTAATCCGAACACAGCAAGGAATTGCGGAATTGCCGAGCTAATTGTGTTAGGCAATGCTTACTCACTCTATCAAGTCCCTCTTGGAGTCGGTAGCTCAGAGTCTAGCAACATCTTAACCACAAAGAGCCATACTAACACCACCAAGCGCAAAGAGTAATAACAGAAACTTCAACAAAAATCTTCACTGTTTCACACTAAGACACTAATCTGATGTGGTTGAGCTTTGGCATAGGCAAAAATGACAAGAGGAGACAGTAAACTTGAACGCAGCAGCGAGGACTCAAGTGCGACATGCCATGGAATTGTACGGAGATGGCATGGGCAGCGACTGTGGGCAGACCTCAAACCCTTGGTCAAGCGTAGCCCTCAAATCCAGGGCCGGCTCAAGTTATTCTGGGCCCTTGGACAAATAAAAATGTTTAGGTTAATAAATACAAATTTTCTAGGCTATTAAGGATAAATAATATTTTTTGTGCCCCTAAACTTAACATTTTTCAAAACATAGGCCCTCTAATTAGTAAAAAATTTTGCTGAAAATTTATGGGCCCCTGGGCCCACGCTCCATTGCACTCCCTCTTAAGCCGGCACTAGTCAAATCCATCCTAGACGAAACTCACAAGAACCTGCAGGGGCAAAACTAGACTCGGACTAAAACCAATCCACAATATTAGTTAACCACCTTTGGCTTGGGAATCGGCATTAGGTAGCTTGCAAGTAGATGGAGAAGCCGGCTCTAACAACAAACACAACACGAAGCACCTTTGAAAGACCAACTCCCCCGGTATAAACAAAATGAGAGGATCAAAATCACCGGTGGCTGAGACCTCAGCATTACAAGCCACACCTATAACAACAACACACAAAACAGAGACTCCGAGCATACTAGAGTATATACCAATCCCACTTTGAACCAGTTATTCTTAACCGAACCGGGGTCACTACTACTTTATTTGTGGTGTACCTGGTCAGTGCAAATCGGGTCACAAGCTTGATGTTTTTGTCATGCCTGAAATTCTACAAGCACCTTCATCTAATCCAAAGCCTTCTCAGATGGCTCCATCTCCTTCTCATCAAACTGCTGCCACAATCTCACCTACCTCAAACCACACCTAGTTGATTATATTCATCTGCGCAGATGCAATTATCACTTTGATTATCATTATAACGTTTTGTCGTTAAAACCTTGTTATAAGAAGTACAAAGCTACAAAAAGTTAGTGGACTCTTAATATAAATTTGCGGCCCATATAAATTTTCGGCCCATATAAATTTTCGGCCCGTTTAATAAATCTGCAACATAAAATCAGATTAATTTTCTTTTTGTCGTTGACCCAAAACGGCGTCGTATCAATCGTCGATTTCACAACGACAGATCTTTCTCCTCGCCGGCGTTACTCAACACAAGGCCTCTGTGTTTATTGAGCCTCGTCGGAGATTTTAGTGAAGCACGAAACAAACCCTTTTCGCATCTAGGTTCGGTTTAGTTTCTTCCTCAAATTTTTCACTGAAAGTTTCAATTTTTATGTTTTGATTGCATAGAAACCTCAAACCCTTTTGACATTGATAGGAATCAGATTTTAGGGTTTTGGGGTTTTGTTGAAACTATAAAAATCGATGGCGAATACTCGAATCGAACCCGGTGTTCCCATTACTCTACAAGAGCTTTATCCTTCTTCTCAGTTTTACAAGGAAGCTGTTTCACTTAGAGTTACAGGAATGTGAGTTGTTTGTGCTTACTCTGATTACAATGTCATAGACTGAGATTGGTCAGAACTTGTTGTTTAGAGAACAATGATGTTGTTTTGTTTTTGTAGGTTGAGAGTGTATTCAGTTGAAACAGCTATAGGTGTTATTGAAGATGCAGGCAAAAGTCTTAAAATCAATACTCAGAACCTAAGAGATGTTAGTTTCAGGGTTGGCTCAATTTATCAGTTTATTGGAGAGCTTCACATTGAACAACCCAATAATGAGGTTAGTTGTTTTACAGAGTTTAGACAAAACAAGAACATTGCTTTTGTAGAACAAGAATAGGTCTTGGGAACACTTGTAGAACATTGCTTTTGTAGAACGATTTAACGTTTCTTAAATGCAAGTTGAGAGATCTTCACAAAGTTTAGTTTAGTAAGATGTTAAATTTTCGAACTTTACATGGAACACAATTTCCCAAGAAGATGTAGTTTCAGCATCTCAGTTAAACTATTTATGTATACTATGAAAGTTCTGATATTGATGAGCCATTGTTAAGAGGTCAGATGGGAAACTTGTCGATTGAAAATTCGATTTTTCTATCGTCTCTTCTTGAAAATCAGAACAGTTGTGAATGTTCTATGAGTATATGTTAGGAATAGACAGTAGTAACCATTTCAGGCTGAACTTAGTTTCAAACTGATACTATTGTCTTTGATAGCTAACGAATCTGAAAAGTGATCCATGTATCGATTTCTTTAGGCGATCTTGCAGGCTCGAACAGGAAGAAATGTGGATGGAATCGATATGAACCTCTACCGTAAAACAGTTGAACTCCTAAGACAATTTCTAAAAGAAGAAGGCAACAGCAATATGGTTGAATGAGGCTAATTATCAGTTGCCATACAAGTAACATAACCCGCCCATGATTTTATATTTTGTTCATTTTTAGAATTGGTGGAATTGTTTTGGTCTGCTTTTCCATATGAGCACTTTTCTGAAATGAATGTGTTTGAATTTGGCTAACCGGAAGTGAATCCGGTTTGATAAATCGGTTAAACCGGTCCGCTTTCGATTTGAATTAGCTCAAGTAATTCCGTTTTTATAAATTTGCAAATACATACTTCAAAAATTGAGAAATCTTTTACTCTTTTTTCTCTAGTCGAGAAGAATTTGGTTCGTATAAATTTGTTGTATATTTAATTATTTGTTATACCATATTTAATTTGTACAAATGTTATAACAATCGAAACTACCGTATGAATTCTTACAACTATATTCAGAAGAACTAAATAATGAATTCCCAATATTCCCAACTGTCTAGTTGACCATGAGTTTTGGCGGCTATGGAGTTGTCAGAAAAGTCAACAATGGTTTTAAAATAAAGTCAATTAATATTGTAACAATGTTAATGATTAGCGACTTGAGCCAATAAACCTTAAACAAAGAAACATGATCTTTCAATGTGAAAGGACTCAATTTTTGGTGTAGAACCTAATCAACACCCAAAATTTGACCCAAATTTAGGCATTCAAAACTAAATAACACCAACCCTTTTGTCTCTTGGCCACTAGGCGACTTTTAACTAAATAACACCAACCTTTTTGCCTCTTGGCCACTAGGACTTAATGTAGTTGATGTTGTGCTTGCACATTTAGAAAGATAATTGCATCAAATACGAGCGCTTAAGCAGATTTGAAACCTTTACTCTCAAAGTTATACATCTAATGTGGTGATTCTTTTACTGATTGAAATATCACCACTCCATCCTCATTTGGGTTGCCAGTTCGTCTCATTGTCTAGCATAGTTTTTTGAAACATACATTTTTTGTGGATCAACTTTTTTGATATCCTTCCACATGAGAAATTGGTAAATCATGAAAATTTTCTCTTATTTTTGTACATTATAAACTTATAACGATGTTGGTGCATTTCTCATGAAAAATATATTTTTGTATCAACCTTGTTGGTGCATTTCTCATGGGTGTAGAGACACCAAGAATGTGCCTCATCATTGTTTTCAGATTGTCAAGATTATATAATTTGAAGTACTTTTAAGTTGCATTCTTTAAAAATTTATATAAAAACAAGAGAAAATTTTCCTCCTTTCATAAATCTTTTTTTTTTGTAAGAATTAACATCGTTATAAGTTTATAATGTAAAAACTTATAGATAAATAACGTATTTTCAACTTCATTATATCAAATACTTCTTACTTTCTAAAGTAGTTATTTATTTATTTTAATACTTTGTTTCATTTAAAATATTGCTCTATTTTTTTAATAAAATTATATATTTTAAGAATAATAATAATTTGGTTTAATTTCTTTAATATTATAATTAAAAGTACAGAATTTTGTTTGAAAACTTTTTTTTCTATTAATACATGATAGAATTTAGAAAAAAAATGACAAAGGAGTACTATTTTTATAAATATAATATTACTTGATGATTTTAGACCCAAAAAATGTTTCTTGAATAAAATATACACATGTGTGGGTTTATGAGAAAGTTAAATTATCGATTAAGTGTTTCTTTGGATTAATATACGAGTTACAAATTATTATGTACGGTCAAGTGGAGGGGCTAATTACCACCTAATAAGCCTATACCACTAGTTTGTGGTCAAACCAAACGCAACGTCAAGTCGTCAATGGCATATGATTTGTCTTTATTTTTTCGGAAATAACCAAGAAAAAGTCGTATAATAATTTGCAAACTTTAAGGCAATCGCCAATGTCTTTGGATTTCCGGCCAACAGGATACAAATTTCTCTGAAATGTTAACTCATACTGAAAAGAGAAAATATGAATACAAAAGAATGATATATTAAATTTTAAAACATCAACATATTGCATAGTTAATGTGTACTGTTTTGTTTATATTTCAATATTCAAATTATTGTGTGCGGTCATTCTCTGTCTCGAAGATTTTTTGTTCGTTGTAGTAATAGTCTCTATTTTGTTATAAGGACAGTTGAAAAAAAAAAAAAAACAGATAGGGACTCTTGAAATTAAGCAATCCCAACACTCTTAATCACCCTTAATTAGCCTTGTAGTTTTTTTTTCATCAACCTTAATTAGCCTTGTATCATCTTCTTTATCGCAGGTTTTCAATTCTCACTTTAGTATTCAAAATATTGAATGTGATTAAAAATGAGACTTTAGACAGTAAAAATAATAATGTGATAAAAAAATTAATACTTCGTCTGTTTCATAATATAAGTTGTTTTAGATAAACTTTTTTGATTCATACAAGTTTCTATGCAAATTATATATTTTTTATATTATGTAGTTTCTTTCATAATATTAAATACCTGAAATACAACAAAAGAATTCTAAAAAAACTCATAACTATTAGTTTTAGAGAAGTATTCATATCGGAAATCTAGACGAATAGCAAGTTACTACACAAAATATACAAATCATAGTGGTCCAGTGGTCCTAGTCTCCTAGTGGATGAGAATCAATATTCGTCGTATGTCTAACTGTGCATAGTACTTAAGCATTAATTTAAACCAATTTGTTTGCTTTTGAACTGATTTAAAACTAAATCGAGACTAGAAATACTGTTTTCCAAGAGGGGACACAATTTATATTTAGTAAAGAGATAGTACTATTTGTTAGATTTCACTACTTTTTTGTTTGTTTGTCGTCTATTACTAAACATTGCAAGTGTATTTTTCTTATAACTCACAAATTTACTTGCATATAAAAGTATATAATTTGGATGTTCAATATGACAAATTCGATCTAAGCTAGAACGACCCCAAAGTGATTCCGGTCTTGTATAAAATATTTTAGAGTTGGTTTAAAATTTGATTGAATATGAAAATCATGAATTAGTCACGCTACTCACAAATCGCTAAACGTTTTGTTTTTATCAAAAAAAAAAACCTCTCTTAACGTTTTATTAAACGAAATAAGTACAAAACTATCAACGTGCATATGAGTGAAGGATAATACTCCTATTTTCTCTTCCGCGTTAACTTTCTCTTTTGGAACGCCAATCTTTTACTTTTGGCCAACGACCAAACACTTTTACTTTGAAGCTATAAGCTTCCAAATAAATAATATATAAATCCATAATATTTGACCATTGGTCTAAAATGGTCAACAGAAATATGCCAAGCCTCACTATATATACTCACCATCTCTATCTCCAAGCATATAACACATCTACCACAGTTACAAAAAGAAATCAAAACAAATCACAAAACGAAAAATCTTCAAATTCTGAAAACTCATTAAGATTTATTATTCCTTTACTCTGCAAATAAGAAAAGGAGGATGATGTTACCAGAAGCATGCGTAGCAAACATCCTTACCTTCACATCTCCAGCGGATGCATTCTCGTCGTCGGAGGTTTCTTCGGTTTTCCGGTTAGCCGGAGACTCCGATTTCGTATGGGGAAAGTTTTTGCCTTCGGATTACCAAAGCATCATTTCTCAATCCACTGATCATCATAGGAATTTTTCTTCCAACAAGGAGATTTATCGATGTTTGTGTGACTCTCTTCTCATCGATAATGCTCGAAAGGTTCGATTTTTATGAGTTAATTTTAAATAGAAGAAATGTATTTCTTTCTAACTACTTGAACTAATAGTATCTTTTGTGTATGGTGTAATTTCAGCTCTTCAAGATCAATAAATTTTCCGGGAAAATTTCCTACATTTTATCAGCAAGAGATCTCTCCATAACGCATAGTGACCATGCATCTTACTGGTCTTGGAGCAATGTCTCAGATTCTAGGTCAGTTTTTTTTTCTTTTCTTACAATAACTATTTCTGCTTTGTATACATTTATTGAAAATGTTCCAATTTTTTTTTTTTTAACTACTATTAACAATAAATAGTTTAAATGTTTTTCAGATTTTCGGAGTCAGCTGAACTTATAACAACTGATCGCTTAGAAGTCAAGGGTAAAATTCAAACCGGAGTTTTAACACCAAACACGAGATACGGAGCATATCTCATAATGAAAGTCACTAAAGGTGCTTACGGACTAGACCTAGTTCCAGCGGAGACTTTGGTAAAATCTAAGAATGGTCAAAATATTAAGAACACAACTTATTTATGTTGCTTGGATGAGAAGAAACAACAAATGAAGCGGCTATTATACGGAAATCGGGAAGAACGAATGGCGATGACTGTGAAGGCGGTCGGCGGAGACGGGAAAAGGAGAGAACCGAAAGGTAGAGATGACGGATGGATGGAGATTGAGTTAGGAGAGTTTGAGACACGAGAAGGAGAAGATGATGAGGTCAATATGATTCTTACGGAGGTGAAAGGATATCAACTTAAAGGTGGAATTGTGATTGATGGTATTGAAGTAAGGCCTAATTGTTAATTATTTACAGTATTGGATAGAAATTGAAAATGAGAGGAAATTGTGTGAATGTGTGTGTTACTAAAATTGATTTTATTTATTCATTTAGGTAGTTAGATGTCAAATGCTCACGCCATTTGCCATTATATGTCTGTTAGAGAAGATTTGGCAGAGAAAAAGTGTGTTCATAATGTCAGTGAATACCCTCGCATCAATATACAAATTACAAGTTTATGAAAGACATGTTTTTAATATATGCATTTATCACGTATGCATGCATAGATTTTGATAATATATGCATGTTTACATGTATCACGTATGCATGCATAGATTTTGATAATAATAACTATCCTTCTTAATTTAGCAAAAAAAAAAAAAAAAGAAAAAACTATCCTTCTTGTACTCTCAAAGTTTCTCTCGACCTAATCTTCTACTCATCTGCCTCGATAGGATGTAGATCACCTGAAAATACTTCGTACCAAATAGTATTGGTCTGGTGGCTTATACTTGAGGAGGAGTCGCCCTCTAGATCTAATCTAGGGATTTACTAAATTACAACTCCATTTGACAAGTCGAAATAGTGACATTCTTAAGCTCTTTAGAAAACTCAATGAATGTGTTACTCAACATCTACACTCACCCTAAGAAATTAGTTAGTTGGTAAAAGTTTGGATCATCCTTAGTTATTAAAAAAATACATCGTACCCAACTTCAACATAATATAACATTTTACTTGTTTCATAAATCTATAAGTCTATAAGTTTAAAAAAAAAAAAAAAAATCTATGAGTTTTTATTGTTTTATAATTTTTTAATAAAACTTAAGGACAATTAAAATTTATTTCATTTCCTTACTTAGATAGCTAAATATACAGAATTTTGTGTAAAACATTTTCTATACAAATAAAATTTTAATGTGTCAAAAATCTAAAACAATGCTTTATGGAACAAATAGAGTATGGTATACATATGTCCCATTTTATCAAATGTTTTAGGCTTTTGTTTTTAAATTTTTAAATTTTATTAGATGTTATACAAGTTTCTATACAAAATTTATTTTTATTAAATATTTTATAATCATTTATATACTATCGTATTTTATATGATTGGCTGAATTATATATAACTTTTTTTAATATATGCATGTTTTCATCCAAAGATCTTATAAAATTGGGACAAAAACTAATATTAACCATATATATGGCCTAGGTGACAATAAAATATTATATTATATGTAATGTTACTTGAACAAAAAATATAAACACATGTGTGGGTTCATGCGAAAGTCAAATAAATGATGAAGTGTTGCTTAGGATAAAATACAAGTTACAAAAAAGTTGTGTACGGTCAAGGAGTCAAACTTCCAAAAGGAGGGGCTAATTTATCCGATACGCGCCCACCGTTTGCTAATTCGTGGTCAAATGTCAATGGCATATGATTTGTCAACACTAGTTCAATTAACTGTAAGCAAGACTATCTTTATTTTTCGGAAAGAACCAAGAAAATATCATACTATAATTTGTCAAGTAGGGTATGGTAACCTTAAAGGCAATCACCAATGTATTTTTATTTCCGTCCAACAAGAAATAAAAGACTCCATAAATGTGAACTTTGATGTTACTGAAAATATCTATATTTAAAAACAAAGAAAAAAAAATTTATATTTCATTTATGCGGTTGTTTTTATCAGTGTTCGACTCCAATAATCGCAATATCATCCATAGTAGAAATAGAAATATAGATAAAATTTTGTCCAACCAAATAATATAAAAAAATGTAATATGTTCATAATATATAAATTTTTAAAATATTAACATATTGCATAATTAGTGTGTACTTTGGTTTATATTTGGACATTAAAATTATTGTGTGCGGTTCAACATTTTCTTCTTCTTGCGTTTTTTCGATATTTAAAAAATATATTTGAATCTTCTCGAAGTTTTGCTTTGTTCAATACAATTATATATTTGTAATAGTGATGGCGGATAACAGGGACTCTTGAAAATATGAAACTTCAACACTCTTAACTAGCCTTGCATTGTCTTTTTATTGTAGGTTTTCAGTTCTCACTTTCGTATTAAAACTATCGTATGTGATTGAATAAGACTTTGGATGTTAACAAAAAGGATTTCTTTAATCGTTATTTGAAGAAATGGGAACAATATTTATTGCATGATGTAGAAATTCCTTCCATTTAGCTTTCAATCCAACCAAACTTGAATTATATCAAGAGGTTATATCTGTCATTTTTCAAACCAAGACTACAAGAAAATGATTGATTTCCTACGGTAAATACAACTGTTTTCTACCAATTTCCTACGAAATTTGTTCGTAGGTTATGTCCCGTAAGAAATTAAAAATGGTAGGAATTTGGTAGGAATTTTCTTATGAAAAAATTCGTAAGAAAATAGAAAAATGTTTTTAACCAATTTCCTACCAAATTACTCGTAAGAATATTTGGGTATTTCAGATACTTTTTTCGTGTATTTTGGATACTTTTGAGTATTTTTTGGTTATTACAGTTCGGATCCACTGGATTTCGGTTTGGTTATTCGGATATTTTTGATTATTTGGATAAAATATTCAGTATAACACTAACCAATATTTTGGATATATAATTATATTTCGGTTTGATTTAGGTATTTGAAATATTTGGTTCCGCTTCTTTCGATTATGAAGTTTAGAACCCATTCGATTATTTCGTCGGTTTCGGTTCGTTCTTCTTTTCGGTTTGGTTTTGGTAAAATAATTTTCTAATTAATAACTTGAAAAGTTTATTTGTTTACTTATTTAAAAAAAATTAGCCATATTCAGTTTGTTACCATTTGAACTAATTATTCAGCAAGATTATGCATACAAACAAAAATATATTAAGCCGAATTTAACAATTCAACCAAATTTAGCGAGATTCATCGGTTACCATTTAGACCCATTATCAAAAGTATATTTGAGCAAAAGATATCTTTATCAGTGTTATTGTTTTTTCAAAGAAACCACTCGACCAAAAACAAATTTGATAGTTTTGACAATTGTTTTAGAAAAATTTTCTTAAATAATATATGTTATATCATCAATGGAGAGAAACCAATATATTGTATGTATATCAAATAAGGACAGAAAATAATGTATATGAACACATTGAAATTGGTAATCTCAAAATAGCTAGTTTAGTTTAGATATGAAGTGTTACATGATACACGGTTTTACTTAGGATATAAACAATAAATTAATTAAGTGTTGACATTCATGATTTGTTTGACTATGATATATTCTTCATTTTATATATATAGATCACACTTTCTCTTTGTACGTAACACACGAGGCATCTTTTGTTTTTACTAATATATAATATGTCAACACCGACGCGTTTAAACGTCCTTTTTTCCGTAGGAAATAACGAAGAAAACTCAAAAGTTCAAAACGATTAGTCAAATAGGGTAGAGGATTGTTCTATAACTTTAAGACAATCACCATTCACCAATGTATTTGAGTTTCTTTCCACATGAAATGAATGTAGAGAAAAGTTGATGCTAAGAAATTAAGAGTAATTAGCAAAAATGTCAATAAAAGATTAGAAAAATAGCAATGATGTGTTTTTGTTTTCTATCCGGTTGGGATAAACTTCCGGATTATTTATTTAGATTATATCATTTAACTTAGTATGATAAAGAAATTTTTTTATAATGTCAAACTTTTCTACCTGAGATATAGGTTAAAAGTGTTTCACGAAATATACAATTACAAACCATGTCAATTTTTATATTAAAAAAAAACATATTTGTAACAAAACTCAAAAAGGGTGAATTAATTGTTTAACTGATACTATTGAAAATTTTAGTGCTGCATGTAGCAATCCACATGCATTCAACTGAGATTATTATGTACTTTCAGCCTCTACTCAATTCACCGTATACTCTTCTTCTTTTTCCTAATTTTACCCAATTTCTAAAAGTTTACCCAATAAACCAAATTCAATTAATTTATGTAATTGCGATTTAAATCAATAATTCGCGTTCACTATTTCGCGATTTGAGTAAACCCAATTTTAAAATCTTCTCAGCAACATGTCAAAAACACATTGAAAGCTTGGCCGAATCAAGATTTTAAAATCGGGTTTACTCAAATAATGAACGCGAATTGTTGATTTTAAATCGCAATTATAAAGATGTATTGAGCTTGGTTCTTTAAGCAGAATTTTATAACTCGGATGGAATTAAGAAGAAAAAAAGAGTACATGATAAATTGGATAGATGTCGAAAATACATATATAGTGATTCTAGTTGAATGCATATAGTATGGATTGATTGCTAAAGACGGTCCAAAACGTTTTATTAAAAGATTAGTACCAACAAATAGTAAGCTAAAAACATTCTTGTGTTCAATTCACTTTTCAAAAGGAGAGACATTGTTTAAATAAGATTGGAACTAAAAGCTAATTCCGGATACCAAAAAAGATTATGGAACAAAAGTTAGGAATTTTCATAGTTTAACAGAAAAATAAAATAATAGTAAGCTGAGGAAAAAAATAATTTCTCATACGCGTGAATTCTTTCGGAAGTCCAATCTTTTATTTTTGCCAACAACCAAACGCTTTTACTTTTAAGTTTTAAGCTTCCAAATAAATAATATATAAATCCATAATGTTTGACCATTGGTCTAAAATGGTCAGCAGAAATATGCCAAGCCTCACTATATATAGTCACTATCTCTATCTCCAAGCATAACACATCTACCACAGTTACAAAAAAATCAAAGCAAAACAAAAATTCTTCAAATTCTGAAAACTCATTAAGATTTATTATTCCTTTACTCTGCAAATAAGAAAAGGAAGATGATGTTACCAGAAGCATGCGTAGCCAACATCCTTGCCTTCACATCTCCAGCGGATGCATTCTCGTCGTCCGAAGTCTCTTCCATTTTCCGGTTAGCCGGAGACTCTGATTTCGTATGGGAAAAGTTTCTACCGTCGGACTACAAAAGCCTCATCTCTCAATCTATTGATCACCATAGTAGTTTTTCGTCTAAAAAGGAGATTTATCGATGTTTTTGTGACTCTCTTCTCATCGATAATGCTCGAAAGGTACGTTCGATTTTTATGAGCTAACTTTTAATACAGAATGGAATTTTTTTTTAATTTACTTGAACTAATAATATTTTCTGTGTATGATGCAATTTCAGCTCTTCAAGATCAATAAATTTACCGGGGAAATTTCCTACATTTTATCAGCAAGAGATCTTTCCATAACTCATAGTGACCACGCATCTTACTGGTCTTGGAGCAATGTCTCAGATTCTAGGTCATTTTTTTTTTCTTCTCTTAAAATAAACTATGTATGATTGTATACATTTATATATTGAAAATGTTACATTTTTAGTTAATCGCTATTAACAATATATACTTTTCTTATATTTCAGATTTTCAGAGTCAGCTGAACTTATAACAACTGATCGATTAGAAATCAAGGGTAAAATCCTAACCGGAACTTTGTCACCAAACACAAGCTATGGAGCATATCTCATAATGAAAGTCACTAAAGGTGCTTACGGACTAGACCTAGTTCCAGCGGAGACTTCGGTACTAAAATCAAAGAGTGGTCAAAATAATAAGAACACAACTTATTTGTGTTGCTTGGATGAGAAGAAACAACAAATGAAGCGGTTGTTTTACGGAAACCGAGAAGAGCGAATGGCGATGACTGTGGAGACGGTAGGCAGAGACGGGAAAAGGAGAGAGCCGAAAGGTAGAGACGACGGGTGGTTGGAGATTGAGTTAGGAGAGTTTGAGACACGAGAAGGAGAAGATGGTGAGGTCATGATGAGTCTCACGGAGGTGAAAGGATATCAACTTAAAGGTGGAATTGTGATTGATGGTATTGAAGTGAGACCTAGGGATCAAGATGAGTATAGTATTAAATGAACTAACTAGGATTAAAGATTCAACCGGCGGTGTAACATAATCTATAGTGCAATTTACTTTTGTGAATATATTATTATTTTTAAAACATAAACAAAATTGAGAGACCTTGGGACGTCTAGGTGAATTGAGGATGACATTTAATCAAATAGATACAAGGCAAGCTCGGCTCTAGGTATAGAAAATGAAGGTGTGGGAGGATCTACCAGATCCTATTGTCCTTTCGGCACAACAATATCCTCTCAAGACCTTCTAGATTATGTATAAGCTCCCCTGGTTGCCACACATACGTTTGCAAATGTAGTTCAAAACATTCTCTCCACCACAAGCCAATCGAAATATCTCAAAGCTGAAGTGAATGTAAGGTATTGTAGAAACTAAATTATCTCCAAAAAAATTGGCAACAAAAAAAGTCTAAGACGAATAAAAATGGAAAATGAAGACATCCAAGTTATCTCTATTTGACCTGAACTATTCAATCTTTCGGTATATATAAGTTACTGAAAGTGTCCTTTTAGATCTTAATAATTTATTTTAAAATCGAAATAAATAAATTACCTGTTGAGAAAAATAAATAAGATACACAGATTACCTCTTTTGATAAACTAATGTTTTTGGAAGCATTTCAAACCTAAATGTTAACACTAGTATAACTTAGCCCACATCGGTTGTTATTTTAATATCTTGTTATTTGACTTATAAAATATGAAAACTAAAAAAAAATTAATGGAAGAAGATTTCACATTTATTCTTCTTACTAGCTTAGAAAAAACAAATTATGTAAACGTGTAAATTAAATTCCAGGTAGGCCTAGGCTTGATCTTCCTCTGGCGCCATCAACTCCTCTCCGTCCTCATGATGTCTCTGTGATGGAAGACTCATGCCATGACCGGTCCACATTGAGTTTTTGTAGACCACAATGATGGTGGTGAGTAAAATCCCAACGAACTGCATAAGACTGCCTCGCAAAATGCTCAAACGCGACAAGGACCATCGAGACCAATCCATCAAGCCATCCAAAGTCATTGCCGATCCCTATCAATTTCAACACTGAGGTAAAATGCAGATAGGGAAAAACAAAAGTCAGAAAGAGGAACCAATCAACTTGCTTAGGATCATAGAAAACATCTCCTAAAAGTACGATCAACCTAAGAACACAAACTTCTGTGAGTAACTTATAGAGTTGAACAAAAGGTGCACATGCTTCCATGAGTCTAACTAGCCTATCACTTCTCCAATATCCCACAAGAGATATGGCAGCCCCACCATATACAACCATAGCTACATAATAGGCTGTTTGAATTATCACGCCACCATATTTTTATTAAGAAAGTTGATATAACTCCTAAATAATGGTGATGATCCATTGTTGGTGAAAGTGCAGGAGAAGGAGTCAGAGGACAAGAACATTGACAGTTTTGATGAGAAGGCACTTGAGAATCTATGTAGCTGCCCTTATGACTAGCCCAATACGAACTTAAGCAAAAAGTCGCCACAAAACCTAAATAATTTTGGTTTAGTGTAGGAGGAATAAATGATTTTAGATTTCCGCTTAAGAATTTTCTATCTTAGCGTTTATTAAAAGCTGTTATAGAAAAACAAAATTTACAACACGTCTTTGATAGCAGTTGGGAAAAATGAGCCATCCTCTTGTGCTATTAATGTGAAATTTTCTTGTAGTGTAAGTTGCAATTATAGAGATGTATTGAGCTTGGTTAATTAAGCAGAATTTTATAACTCGGATGGAATTAGGAAGAAAAAAAAGAGTACATGATAAATTGGATAGATGTCGAAAATACATATATAGTGATTTTAGTTGAATGCATATAGTATGGATTGATTGCTAAAGACAGCCCAAAACGTTTTATTAAGGAAAAAAGATGGCTGGCTACACGAAGTATCCGCGAAGACATGGCCACACATGCAAAGTTTAAAAATGTATCTCTAACTACACAAACTATATGTATCGCATGCCCACATATACGAACTATATGTAGTCATGTTGCCAACATCACAAACATTTTTTTCCGATACATTTTTCGCCGGAATCCGGTATTGACCAGTTTGACCGGCGTTGACCAACATAAATATTCAAAAAAAATATTTTTTTTTAGTTTTTTAATATTTAGAAAATTATGTTATTGAATCATTTATAATATTTTATAATTAAAAAATATATACAATATTCAATATAAAAATATTTTGTATATATATTCAATGCATTGATTTTTATAATTAGTTAGTTTCAATAATTTCAAAACTAAACTAAAAATAAAACAAAAACCAATTAGGTAAAATAATTGTAAATATGAAATTTTCTATACTCTCTAGTCTAAAGTTTTTTGTATAATCTGTTGTTAATTTTTGTATCTAAAATTATTACAAAAAATTCTTTTAATAATACAAAAAAAATTAACAACATATTATAGTGGAATTTTAGGATTTTAGGATTTTATTTCATATAATATGTTGTCACTATAAAATTAACAACATATTATAGTGAAATAATACAAAAAGTTAAAAGTAATCTTTTCTTAGTTTTATTCTAACTTTGAGTACAAATTAACATGGAATATGTTGTTAATTTTATTTCAACATATTAACAACAATATTCAATAAGTGTCGTTTTAGGATTTTCTTTTTTTAAAAATTAGATGTCGTTTTCAAATTTCTATGCAAAATTTCTTACTTTTTAATGTTTTATGACATCATAAAACATTAAAAAGTAAGAAATTTTGCATAGAAATTTGAAAACGACATCCAATTCAAAAAAATAAAAATTCTAAAACGACACTTATTAAAATACGGAGGGAGTAGTAGGGTATTTTTTAGTATTCGTACCTTAGGAGGAATACTAAGTAATAAATAGAAATTCTAACAAATCAAAATAAATATGATGGAAGTGAAAGAGGAGGAAAGAGAAGAGTAGATAAAATTTGATATCAAGCTATATAATAGGGATCAAGATGAGTATAGTATTATATTAACTAATTGATTTTGTTTATTGATTTATTTTGCTCCTATTTAATCTATTCTTTAGTCTGTGTCACGTGTATGATAAGATGTAATTAACTATTTTAAAAATATTATTATCAACTAATTTTTGACTTTTCCAATCGGTTATAGTAAAATACACCTCTTGAATTCATTTTAATTCGAGTTTTAAGTACAAGTTGGAGTTATAATATTTAGGCAGAAGATTAGGTAGTATAATATAACTATATAAGATGCTATCTATTGCCAAATTGCCATTATTAGTCCATTAAAGAAGATTCGGCAGAGAAAAAATGTGTTCATAATGTCAGTGGATGTTGTCATCAGATTGCCAAAGCCTCTTGACGTGGACACTCTCCCATTCATATCCAAATCACACAAGTGACATGGCCTATATTAAAATTTAAAGTCCATATCAATTTTGTTTTCTTATATCTTATTTTTAAAGTATACATCCTATATATTTATAAATACATATAAATATGGGAAAAAAATACCTAGCTACACGAAATATGCTACAATAGATGGCCACACATCCGAAGTTTAAAAATGTATCCCTAACTACACAAACTATATGTATCGCATGCCCACATATACGAACTATATGTAGTCATGTCGCCAACATCACGAACATTTTTTTCCGGTACATTTTTCGCCGGAATCCGGTATTGACCAGTTTGACCGGCGTTGACCAACATAAATATTCAAATGTTTTTTTTTTTTTAGTTTTTTAATATTTAGAAAATTATGTTATTGAATCATTTATAATATTATATAATTAAAAAAATATATACAATATTCAATATAAAAATATTTTGTATATATATTCAATGCATTGATTTTTATAATTAGTTAGTTTCGATAATTTCAAAACTAAACTAAAAATAAAATAAAAACCAATTAGGTAAAATAATTGTAAATATGAAGTTTTCTATACTCTCTAGTCTAAAGTTTTTTGTATAATATGTTGTTAATTTTTGTATCTAAAATTATTACGAAAAATTCTTTTAATAATACAAAAAAAATTAACAACATATTATAAAAAAACTTTAGACTAGAGAGTATTTAAAATTTTCTATTTATAATTATTTTGACCTAATTGGTTTTTAATTTATTTTTAGTTTAGTTTTGAAATTATTGAAACTAACTAATTATAAAAATCAATGCATTGAATATATATATACAAAATATTTTTATATTGAATATTGTATATATATTTTTAATTATACAATATTATAAATGATTCAATAACATAATTTTCTAAATATTAAAAAACTAAATAATTTTTTTTTAAATATTTATGTTGGTCAACGCCGGTCAAATTGGTCAATGCCGGATTCCGGCGAAAAATGTACCGGAAAAAAATGTTCGTGATGTTGGCGATATGACTACATATAGTTCGTATATGTATGCGATAAATATAGTTTGTGTAGTTAGGGATACATTTTTAAACTTCAGATGTGTGGCCATGTATTGTAGCATACTTCGTGTAGCTAGGTATCTTTTTTCCTATAAATATCTAAGAGAAAAAAATTTCTAAGAGCATCTCTAATAAAGACCTCATTTTGAAGGTAGCAAACTCTCAAAATAAGGGTTTGAGGATCACTTACTCTAATGATACACCTTCAAATTTATTTCATAAATTTTTTGTATTTACATTATAGTCTTCAATATTAACAATAATCAGTTATAATAGTAAAAGTTTCATAAATAAATACAAAACATACATTATAAAAACAATTGTGTCAAACAATATTAAAAAAATTAAACTTTACATGATAATAGAAAAAAAAACATAAAATAAAACATAAAAATGATTAATAAAATTAAATTTATGTATTTATTTATTATTGCAATGTTAATTTAAATTTGTGTTAAAGTGCTCAATGTAATATTATTGTTATATAATTATTTTCTAAAAATGTTATGTCTAAATTTGTATTTTAATAAATTTTAATTTATTTGAATTTATATAAATATACATGAAATAGTTGAATTTAATTGAATTATTTGTAATATAGATAAAGCTTTCACATGTTTTCTTTAACTATTATAGTATCTTTTAACAAACAATTCACATATTTTGCACTTTT